AAAAAACGATTAAACAAGTAATTAAAGCATTAAGAGATCAAACTGGTTGCGTAACAAATGATCAAAATGAAATTGTTGAAATTTTAAATAAACAATTTCAAGATGTGTTTACCATCGAAAGTTCTACAGAAGAGCTTCCACAAATCAAGAATTTAGGGGATATTATTATTGATGCAGTTAATATAAATTATTTTGATGTTTTAAGTAGATTGAAACATGTTGATATCAATAAAACATATGGAGTTGATTCTATACATCCGTTGATTTTGAAAAATTGTGCGGATTCTGTAGCATTGCCATTAACTTTAATTTTTATAGAATCTTTTGTTAAAAGTGAACTACCAACTCAATGGAGAGCAGCAAATATTACACCACTATTCAAAAAGGGAGATAAATTAGAAGCTGCAAATTATAGACCAGTGTCATTGACGTCAATTACTTGTAAATTATGGAAGGTATAGTCAGAGACTGCATACAATCATATTTAATGAAATATAAATTAATATCGAAGTCACAACATGGTTTTGTTAAGGGAAGTCTTGTACAACAAACTTATTAGAGGCGTTGAATTATATTTCATTTAGCACTTTTAGATTTTGTTAAAGCTTTTGATTCTGTTGCTCACAAAAGACTATTGATTAAACTATCTTCATATGGAATTAGTGGTTTATTATAAAAATCGATTGAAGCTTTTTTAAAAAACAGAATCCAAAGAGTTATCCAAAGGTGATGCTGTTTCTTCATGGCGCAAAGTCTTCAGTGGTGTTCCGCAAGGATCCGTAATACGGCCCTTATAATTTGTTATTTTTATTAATGATATATCAAATATATTTAAAAATAAGTCAGTATTGTATGCAGATGATACAAAAATTCTTTCAAAAGTGAATGAAATAAATGTGGAAAATAGCTTGCAAAAAGATCTGGATAGTGCAGAGGAATGGTCTAAAAAGTGGCTCTTGGGTTTTAATTCTAGTAAATGTGTTATAATCCATTTCAAGTTTGTTGAAAAATATACACCTAAATCTCTTTCGCATTCAGAATCTTTCAGTTCAACGCCATTTAAAGTATATTTCAATCGCGGATTATTTGTACCATACAAATAATCCGCAATTGAAATATACTTTAAATGGTGTTGAACTGAAAGATTCTGAATGCGGAAGAGATTTAGGTGTATATTTTTCAACAAACTTGAAATGGAAAAAACAAATTATATCAAGTACTTCTAAAGCAAATTCAATGATGGGTATGTTAAAGATGACATTTTCACGAATTGATGCAAAATTGGTTAAAACATTGTATAAAGTATTTATTAGACCTCTTATTGAGTTTGCAGTACCTGTTTGGTCGCCTTTTTTTAAAGGAGACATCACTTTTGGAAAAAGTTCAACACAGGATGACTAGATTAGTTCCATCATTAAGAAAAATTAATTATGAAAAGAGATTGGAAATATTAGATATATTTACATTAAAAACAAGGAGGGAACGTGGGGATTTAATACAAGTGTTTAAATTACTTAACAGATTTGAGGAAATTGATTTAACTAATGAACCAAAGCTTAAAATTGATTCAATTACTCGAGGTCACAATCTTAAATATGAAAGAGAAATTGTGAACTATTTACCTCGAGATCATTTTTTATTAAATCGTACGGCCAATTTATGAAACGCTTTACCGGAAACTGTTGTTACTTCAAAAACTGTCAATCAATTTAAGAATAGATTAGATGAGTATAACGCCAAATCAAAGAAGTTTTAACTAAACATTTTTAATATATATTTGGATTAATGCTGTCAAAGTGTGATAAACCACACTCGCTGGATTCATCCAGTTACAGTTTAACTACTAACTAACTAAATACATAAACTTAAATGTTCTCAAAATGACTAAAAAACCTAGCCAGTCTTTCGCAACTAAATGTTATTTCCGTAGTCAGTATTCGAGAGATATCGCTCCCGCTTCCCGACCAAGCCTAAGTAACATAATAATATAATAGTATAATATTTTTACTACTATATTCAGAATAAAACATTTTTAGCAAATAGTGTAAATCATTAATAATAATGCAAAATAAAAATATTAACACCATATATCAAAGTATAATCACATATCGATAATAAAAATAGTTTCACAAACAAAAAGAAGAAAAGTTAATGACTTAGAAAGAAGAGTTGAAAAAGTATAAGTCCTAGGAGAGTTCTGTTATGTATCAAAATTTTTTAACTATAATGTTTTAGAAAGAAATAGAAATATATATGTATGTAAAAGTTAAAAAAAAAAAACAAATTTTTTTGCCTTGAGGTTTAAATAGATTTAATTCAGTTTTTTTAATCATTTATTGTTTGATTGAAACCATTTTACCATTAATAATTCATAGGTCATAATTTAGGTATTTACTTTTTTAAAAATTTATCTACTATCAGGAGGTTAGTGTCATCAGCAAAATGATATATTTTTGAGTACTTAACATGTTTTTAAATCATTTATGTAGAAGGGGAACCAGAGTAAATAGCATTGTAAATATATTTAAATGTTATTTTCGAAGAAAAAGGTAAATGCTATTTTCAAAAGAATGCTACTAATTGGTGTAGTGTTGTAGTGGTAGAGTGCTCATCTTATAAGCGAGAAGTTTCTAGTTTCATTCTGACCATGTCCCTGGTAATACTGCGCTCAACTTGTTTCTCCACGCAGTGACCTTGTTTGTCAAGGTTTGTGTTTCAGAGTTATAAAGTTGAGAGAGGGTTGTAACCACAACTAAAAAAGTAACCTCTTCGACTGTAGTGGCCTTCATGGCCTTGGGGAGGTGAATTAAAATAATAACAAGTGTTTATCAGAGTCTTGTTTTCCAGCCTGCTAGAATACGGCATCTATTATCCCTATTTTATATCTGTTATTCCTATGACATTCTGGAAAGCGATCTGACTAATCTAACTATAATCCAATTAGTCTTCTTCCTATCATAAGCATAATGTTGCTTCTCTTTCTCTTTTCTATAAATACTATAATGCATTTATACTGTATAGTGTACACATTTATTACTAGTAAGCGTTTTTATTCAAAAAACAACATACATGAACATATATGAATAAAGAAGTCACATTAAAACATGTTTAATACTTTATATGGACTTCTTACTATTTTAGAATAACTTCTTTTTGGCATGGAGGGAAATCGGGACTCACAATATTAGGGCATTATTTTATGGCACTATGCTTTCATTATGGTTTTTATAAGACATGCTATTGAAGTTGGGTTCTGTTTGAAACTTTTGCTTTCAATTTTATCCAACAGTTTTCTTGGTTTAAATTGGGTTAGTTGCCTGTCATGGGACAAAAATGTTATGTACGTTTTCTTGGATGTCTTTGCAATGTTTGCCTGATGGCAAGTTACTTGTCATGAAAATATCAAACTTTATCATTAAAAACCAATCAGATATATTCATCTTCAAAATGTCCAAATAACTTTTGAAACTGGAAGTCTCACTTTGTTGTAAAAGGTGTAAACCAGAAAACCTTTGACAGTGATTGCATCCCAAATCATAATTGGTGAACATTCCTTAAAAGAAGGACCGATGTAATGAGAAATGTTATAGGTGTAAACTAGAACAACTCCGAACCATAATCACTTTGATACTTTCTAGATACCATGTAATTGATATCTTTAATATTCAGAGGTAGCTATGTTTGAGTGGCAACAACTGAATGCTTTTTAAATTCTATTTGTACACCACTATTTACATAAGATACATGTTGAATTTTTTTTCTCTGAGAGCTAGAGCTTTGTTGTAATAATATATTATCTGCAGATACTTCCCACACATGTATGTATTGAAAGTATCTGCATCGACTTCGACTAAAATTAGTCAATTTGATTTTCAAGTAGAAAAAAACAAATTTAAAATAGTAAAAGAAAAAAAAAAAAAAAGTCTATAATGCAATTTTTGACAAAATAAATTCCAACAATTGTGCACTTATATGGATAAATAATATAAATTTTGCAAAGATGTGAAAAAACCCAATAAACATAAAAAATCTAGACAAACAAGTAGACCATGGTGTTACCACAGAAATGGCGGGGATCGAATTAATAATAAATATAAGCATCTTTATATCTTTTTGAAGAATTTTATTCACCCAGCCTACTGACTTTAAAGAATTGAACTCTTTTAAAAAGAATTATAAGGTTTGTGTTATTAAGACTTAAGAATTAGAATAAAATGGTGAATACAAACTTAAACTAAAACAAGAAGGTTAGTTTTTTTTTAATATATATAGATAGATTTATTGAAAAGTATTAGTTAAAAAATTTAGCCTATATTTTTGTAATTTTTAAATCGGTAAAAAAGTTGGTCTAAAGTAATACTCTTTATAGAAAGTTAATATAAAGAAAAAAAGTTGTTATTATTTTATATTATATTTATTTTAATATATAAGTAGTTAATAGTAGTTAATGAAAAAAAGTAAAATGTTGTTATTATTTTATATTATATTTATTTTATAATTATGTTGGAAGTGTTAAAAAAAGTGAATGTAAAAGTTAGCCTTAAAAAGATTTAAAAAAAGTAAAAGGAATTTAAAATACTTTTTATTTTTAAATTTCAAATTATTTTTTATATATTTTAATTCAATACACTTGCTTATACTTTATTAACTTGGATAACAGTTTTCTTAATACTATTACAGTAGAATCCTGTTAACTCGGACTTTGAACGGGTATATATATTTTGTCTGACTTAGCGAATGTCCGAGTTAAGTGAAGCTTTTGATATGTATAGAGAATTCAAGGGGAATTATCCAGGGTCCGAGTTAACGGGATTCTACTGTATAAATTTTTGTATATTAATATTATAAGTTTTTGTAAATAATATTATAAGTTTTTGTTTAAATTTACACTTACCTCCCCAAAGCCCAAAGGCCTCTATGGTTAAAGATAAAAAGTTATTTTATTGAAAAAATATGTTTTTAAATAAGAATTTGAAAATAATTAAACAACTATTTTTTAGGTTACAATAGCATTTGATAAAAAGGAAATTCGTCCTGGTGACAGTGTGAAGCTAACAGTGAAAGGTTTTCCCAAATCGAGAATTGCAATTGCAGCTATTGATAAAAGTATACATTTCCTTGCAAAGAGTAATGATATTAAATCTGAAGATGTAAGTTTACCCTTTTTTTTAATTTATTATTTTAAAATTTTTTTAAAAAACAAAAACTTTTTTGTTATTTTAAGTTTTTTAGTCAATTTTATAATTATTTAAATACAGAAAATTTTTTAACTCTTTATAATTCTATAAATCTGTTTAATTTCTTTTTTTATTAAATTCATGTTTTTAAATTTATTCATTTATTTTTTGTCATAAAAAAAATTTGGCACAAAAAAAACACAAGCAGTAATAATACAACAAAAAGTTTAATGAACAAAAAATTAGTACAAAGTATTAAGCAATATTAGTTTTTTACTTTCAAAACTGAAACAATGCTTTCTCGCCATTACAACATACTGCGTCAACTTTTTTGTATACATGTTCCCACATGCCTTGTACAAGATTTTTATCAACTTTTCTTAAACAGGAATGGGCTCTTATGCAGCTGAACTTCATTTTCAGCTTCCGAATTGTTTTCATACACATAGCATTTAAGGATTGACCAGAAATCTTCTATTGGTCATAATTCTGGGACACATGCTGGATTATGAACTTTTGTTACATAATGGATATTTTTTCTCATAAAGGTATCGGTCACACTTCTAGCTGTGAAGACGAGAATACATAATTACCATCATTGTGATGTTTTTTGATAAAAGGAATCAATTATTTGATGATGCAATCATTTTTGTACACTGTTTGGTGAATTGTCAGTTTCACAGGAACAATAAATGGTTTTAAGATTCCATGAGGGGATATGGTAATTCACACAAGAATTTTTTTTTCAAATTTGCTTTTGCCCTTATATATTACATTTTTTGGTGCATTTTTAGCTTCATCAAATTAAAATCCAGCATTAGAGTTTTTATTCTTATGTTTATATGAAAAATAATACTCATCGTCAATGACAGTCACAGTTTCTGAATTTGTGACAAATTCTTCCACACTTTAGTTGCATCTGCTTTAAATGCGGTAGTGTGTAGTGGTAGAGCGCTTGCTTCATAAGCGATAGGTTCTCAGTTCAATCCCCACCATGTCCCTGGTAGTATCGCACTCGACTTGTTTCTCCGCGCAGCGGCCTTGTTTGTCAAGGTTCGTGTTTTGGAGTTATAGAGTTGAGAGAGGGTTATAACTACAATTTAGTAGCCTCCTTATCTGTAGTGGCCTTCTCAGCCTTGGGGAGGTGAAGTTACAAAAAAAAAAAAAAAAAAAAAAAAATGTTTATCAGTGCGATCAGGGATTTGTTTTTCCTTAAAATAACAAATGTTTGTTTTGTTTTTTAATGTTTTTACAATGTAGGAATGATCACTCTTGACTTTATTTGCATTTTTTTTGTTAAAGTTCCAGACTGGTTGTTTAAAAGACCTTTTAGGCGATTGATGTTCATTGATCCAGACTTATGAGACTTTATCTCATTGTTCTTCCTCTTTGCCATATAACGTTTGATGGTTCTTTCGGGGTGATAAGAGGCAACAAAATACTCTACAATGCTCTTCGTTTTAGCGTTAGGATGCAAGTTAGAATAGTTGTACACTTGTTCAATTAATGCAGTCGGCTTCATTTTTGGATAACTTTTTTATTAATTAATTTAAGTAAATAAAACTTTCAGTAAAAGATAACTAACACTTTATAAACATAACAACTAAAAGACTAAATAACTAAAAATTTAATAAGTTTTAGCTTCTCAAAGATTGTGCGGATTTGCTTTTAATGTTTGTAATTATTAAAAGTGTATTTGTTAAAGGAGCTTAAAAAGTATTAATATTTGTAAAAAATTAAGTATTAATATTTTGCAAGTTTTTTAAAGTAAGTTTTTTATCGCATTGTAATTAAATTTAATTTTAAACCGCAATAAGAATTATTTAAATTAATTTAACCAAAAATTATTAATAAATTCTTAATTCAGTATTCGGTATAAAAAGATATTTCCTTTTAATTTATTTCTCAAAACAATCTTATACTTAACATAATATTTTGTTTGTTTATCACAGTTTATTTATTTATTTTAATTTTTATGTATTTAATGTAGTATATTTAATAAAGATTAAAAACAATATAGATAGATTTAGAAAAAAATTTAAAATTAAATTTTTTTTGTAAAACAGTTTGCTCCTTCAAAAAATTTTCAGTTGCGGGTAAATGCTTTTTTTTACAACCTATAAAAGCTATAGATGGATTTTATCAGTTACCAATAAGATATTTGTAAACATAATTTAGGTTCATAAATGTATTGCATCAAAAGAACATAACGCAACATTGAATTTATAAGAAACAAAAAATACTTTTGTGAAAAGAATTCTCTTAAACAAAAGCACTTCTCTCTTTTTATTTTCATGTAATGAATTAGTTAGCAATTAGAATCAATTAGAAAAAAACTTTTTTAATAAAAATTACTAAACTATTTTACATTCATTTGAAACTAAATTTAAATTTTTTAAATCATACTTAATTCAAAGTCTTTTAAAGTTAAATTTTTTTTTTAAACAATATGCTTCTTTAAAAAATTCTTAGTTGCGATTAAATGTTTAATATTACGACCTAATATTTTCTGTATAAACGTCACATAAACAAAGATAGTTATAAAATAGTTAAATATTCCTATAAAAAAAAGTTTTTGATTAACTGAAACGCTTTCAACGTTTACATTTTACTGAAAAGTTTTTGCTTAACTAAATGCTTTCAACATTTATGAAAAAAGCAAGCTGCATAGCGCTTCTTATCAGGCCTGTCAAAGTAATTTTTTTATTGGCAATTCAAATTACATTCAGTGTTTTACTATTTTACATTCCTTCAAAACTAAATTTAGATTTTTTAAATCATATTTAATTTAAAGTCTTTTAAAATTAAATTTTTTTTTATAAAACAATTTGCTCCTTTAAAAAATTCTCAGTTGCGGTTAAATGCTTTTTTTTTTAAATATAATAAAATTATTGTTTAAATGATAAAACTTTTTAGTTTTCATTTAGGAATTATTTTATTAAATACGTTTAAACGCTCGTACAGTTTACTCTAATAAAGAATTTTTATTCTTCTAAAAAAAGTTAATAATAGAAAATACAGAAAACAAACTTTGTGACACTGTGACTTTAAGAATATTTTATTACTTTTTATTTTTTTTTTACACTATTTATTACTATGTTTACACTATTTATTATTATGTTTTATTATTATTTTAGACAGTTGCTTTTCTTTTTAAAAAGTTCCATTAAAAAAAAAAAAAAAAGCTATAACTGCCGATAAAAATCAATAGTCGACCTTTCGGGCAACTTAATTGCATCAAAGAAATATTTTTAATCGCCCTTTACAAAATTTGTTTGTCTGGTACTTTTGGGCGACCATGAGTGTACACCCCTGATGTATATATAGGCTTTGGCATGAAGCGGGAGCTATCGCTCCCATCACATGAAACATGCTCGTTAATGGAATATTTTTTTCAATTGAGGTAAAATGTTAAAGTTATACTTCAATTAAAAAGCTTATTTTTTCATGTTAGCTTACGTCACTCTGTTGAAATTAGAGTGCAAATTTCCACAAACAATGAATAGTGATTTGTGAATGAGACTTCTTTATATAAAACATTTACAGCAAACATTTAACGAGTTTAAATAAAGTTTTATCTGTTTATATAAGTTTATTAATAATATTAAATTGTAATAAATACAAATTAATTATGCAAAAATTAAACCCAAAAATACTAAAACTTTTAATTGTTCTTTGAGTTAATAGCCTAATATTGATAGAAAAGAATTTTAACAAATCTTCATATAATTTTATAAGTTATTATTTAATATAAATCTTTTTCAGCTAAAATTTAACTAAATTTAAAAAGCTTTTGCTATTAAAATTATAACTTATTTTATTTATTACTTAATTAAAATTATAAATTTTTTTGAGAAAAAGAAAAGTCTAAGTTTGTGAAAACGTTTGCTAAAAAAGTTATAAAAGTTCTATTAGCGCTAGCAACGAAAAAACATTAAATATATTTTAACAAAAAGATATTGTTATTTCATTGTTTTAATGTTTTGATGATGTGAAAACGTTATGAATTTATATTTTAATTAAACGAATGAAACAATCAAAAAAATGAAAGCTTATGAACTTCTTTCAAATAAATTTGATGTAATAATAAAAAAAAATTGACTGTAGTATTAAGTTAAAGATGAAGACAGTAACAAAGAAAATACATAAAAGATAAATTTATTCCGCAAAACAAGATCATTAAGAACTAGGTGGGATAAAAAAACACAATCAGATGCGATCAAATAATAAATAAGTATTTAGGAAGTCAAAAGAATTTTTCAAGTAGTGCGCTGCTAAATAATAGTTTTAAAATATTTATCGTCTAAAGAATGCTGTATAACAAATTAAAACCTAATAAAATTGTGTGGAAGACCCATATCCAAAAATAAAAGATTGCTCTCGATAACTTAATGACGAGCGCGCATAATCATGCTCGCTAAAAAAATATTTGAGTTTTACAGGTGCGAATTTTTACGGACAATTTTCTTCATGCCATGGCCTATATATATATATATATATATATATATATATATATATATATATATATATATATATATATATATATATATATATATATATATATATATATATATATATATATATATATATATATATATATATATATATATTGTTGTTTAATTGTATCAAGTTAAGATACAAAGTCTCTTGTTCGTTTAAGAATAATTGATAATAATGTAAATTGTTTACAAAATAGATCAGTATTATTATATATAGTGTTATATATAATAATACTGATTTTGTGATAGTACTTAAAGTTTCATGCCTTTTGGCAATCATCAGCCATATTTATTCTTTAAATCAAGAAAAAACCATTAAAAGATACAAAATATAGAAAATAACAGAAAAACGATAACAAAGCAATAGAATGAGTTCTGACGTCAAAACAAAACAATTTTAATTAGAAAATTTCTTAATCACCTGTGTCAAATTGGGTGAGAAGAAACTTGTTTTGATGCCTGCACTTAGATACTTTTTTTGTTTAACTGATTTTGATTTTTCAGGAAAAGAATTTCATATTTTTTGTTTACGCATAGTTTGATGGATTTTGTGATAGGGTTGCATTTTTTAATTTTTTTTTTTTTTTTTTATTAATTCACCTCCCCAAGGCTCAAAGGGGCCACTACAGTCAAGGAGGCTACTCATTTTTTTTGTTTTTTGTTTTTTGTTTTTTTTTTTGTTTGTTGTAAATCGTGGTACAACCCTGTCTCAACTCTTTAACTCCAAAACACGAACCTTGACAATAAGTACCTTTAATTTCCAAAATTCTTTTGATAGTTCAGTGTCATTTTTGTATTTAAGTATGTTAAATGATTTTATATGGTTGGCATATCTATATTTTTAAATGGTGTTTCACTTATACTGATGTAGAATTTATTGATAGGAGTGTTGGTAGGATCATTGGAGATTATATTTGCAAGCTATACAATGGTTTTTGTTAAGGATTGGTTTGATAAAGGGCAGGTATTTTTATTAAGGCAGTTGCAGTTGGTTTTATGTGGAACCTTTTTGTTGTTTATGTGTTGTCTATGTGCATTTAAATAAATTTCATATTCAGCATACATCTCTAACTTATTTTTATTGTGTTTCTCTTGAAAATTTTGTGGAGTTTGTGACCTATTAGAAAGTGGTTGTTAAATAAAGTTAAAAAGCTTTTTCCTACATTAGTGCTAACATTGTTGCTGAAAGGAGGGTTAAATCAAATGATGTTGCATTTAGGGTTTTTGATATGAGGTAAATATAAAATAGGGCAGTATGATTAAAACTTCTTTATTATAGTGGACCCTGGGTTATTCCTTTTTGATATTTTTTTAAAATTACAGGTGATTATTTTTTACAACAGTTTTTTATATCTGTCACTTGTTACTTGTCAATTAATAATAGTTGAAAAAAAAAATTTACAAACATTTAGAATTAATTTAAACCTTTTTTTTAATGTGAAACAAAGTTTACTTTAAAAAATAAAAATTTACCAGAAGTTTTTTTTTTATAATAACATATATAAGTTATAATGTATGTATCTTTAAATTTTGTAATTTGGATATAGTTAATTTATTGTTATTATGTAAAATGATATGTTATATACATGGATTTCTTTTTAATTTAATATAATTGTAAAAGATATTAAATAATTACAACACAAAGCAATATAACTATATTGTTTTCTTTTTTTATTATGGCTTTAATTAATTTTGATTTTTGATTTTGTATATAATTACATTTATTTTAATTAATTATTTTAATCAATTATGAAAAATTTTATTTATAAAAATAAAATTTAGTTGAATTATTGTTTTTGTTATTCTTTGAATTGATAATTTATATTATACATTCTAAAACTTATAATTTTTGTTAGTTGTTGAAGATTCGAGAAGGGCTTGATATTTATCCTGGATATATCAATAATTATAATAGATGTCCTTGGCATGAAAGAAAGAAAAAAAGTATTTTTCCTGGCTTCTCACAAAATTTTGTTGATTCCGAAAAAGCATTTGTTGTAAGTAAGATTTGTTATAATTGAGATTTGTTGTAAGTGTGAATTGTTGTCAGACTTCTTTGAGTACTACTATGAGTAAGTTTTGTTGTAGGTTAATTAATTGTAAGTGAGTTTTGTTATAAGTTTATTATTTGTGAGTGAATTTTTTCTAAGTTAATTAATTGCATGTTTTATTGTAAGTATTGTTATATTCTGAGTCTGAATAGTCAGATAATAGTAAAATATAATTATAAGATAATATTCTTGATTTCTATGAGAATTGTTGTCAGTATTTTTGCATGTGAGTCATGTTGTATATGAAAATTATATATGATTTGTTTTTTAGTTGAAAAATTTTTTTTTTTTTTATAGTTTAAATAAAAAAAGTTGGACAGAAAATCTTTGTATGCCTAGACTTTTATCTCTTGTTCTATAATTTAATAGTACCATAGTTTTTAAGATTAATTGAAGACCTTGGAATAAAAACCTCATATTTCACAAACGATTTTTTTTTAGAAGGGCATTTAAACTATTGATGTTTTTCAAAATTCCTTTTTTTTTTGACAGTCAATTTGAAGGACATAATTTTTAAAGAAACATTTAACAAAGTCATGACATGGACCTGTACAGCCAACCAAAAAATAACATAAATCCAATTTGCATAAAAGTTGACATTTGAGGTTTTTATTCCATGGTCTTCAATTGTTACAAATTTAAGATAAATTGTTACAAATAAAATATCTACAATTGTAATTTTTTTTTTTTCAAGAATGTTCGCTTGATTGTACTTTCTTCGTTACACATTGATGTTCGTCCATGTTCTCAAAACTTGTTATTCCCAATGGCCCTCAGTTTGAGGAAAAATGCAAATGTGAATCTTGGTAGGTCTATCAGGGGTGAAGGGTATTATATCTCTTCAACTTTTTGGATTTGTTAATTTTTAACAAGAATTATGTTTTGTTACAATTGCATTCATTAATTTCACATGTCATTGTATTTACAATGTCTCTTCAACTTTTTGGATTTGTTAATTTTTAACAAGAATTATGTTTTGTTACAATTGCATTCATTAATTTCACATGTCATTGTATTTACAATGTTTTGCTTTATATTTATAGAAGGAGGTTCAATTTCTAATATAGAAAGTGTGGCAACTAAACCACAAACTCATATAAGAACAGAATTTCCTGAAACTTGGCTATGGACAGAGACACACCTGTAAAAATGTTTTATAAATCTTTCTTATTTTTATTTTGTTAAACTAAAAATAAATGTAGAGTTTCAACCAAAAACTTATACTTCTTAGATGTCACACGTGTGTAATTGACGTTAAACTTAAAAAAAACGAAAAGAATAAGATATGTTATTATATTTAAAGATCTGCATAATAATTTTAGGTCTGAAAATGGAACTCATGTTTTTGATGTAAAAGTACCTGATACAATTACATCATGGTATGCAAGTGGGTTTGCAGTTTCAAGTTCAGCTGGGCTTGGTGTTGCAGTGCCTTCAGAGCTAAGAGTGTTTCAGCCATTTTTTGTATCTCTTGTTTTACCTTATTCTGTCATTCAAGGAGAAATCGTAACAGTTCCTGCTGCAGTTTTTAGTTATGTTGATAGAGCTTGTGTTACTGTAAGATACATTCTGAAATCTTTGTTTTTGAAAAGATGTTTTTTTTTTGTTATAATTTTGTTTTGTTTTCTAAATTTTTTTCTTTTAATATTTTAGGTTCGTGTTACACTAGAAATTTCAAATGGTTATAAAATGATTTCTAACCCAAATACAAAGGTTTGCTTATGTGGTGGTCGCACTGCCACTGTTTATTTTAAAATACAACCAACTGTCATTGGCAAAGTTTCAATTCAAGTAACTGCAAAAACATTGTCTGAAAATGTCTGTGCTGCTAATCGCAAGTTAGATACAAGTATCTCAATGGTTGATATTTTAGTCAAGAGACTTCTTGTAGAACCAGAAGGACTAAAACAGGAGTACACATTTTCTAATTTCTTTTGTCCAAACACCTCTCCTCAAAAATTGTTTAAGAGTTATTTCAATCTCACACTTCCAGAAAATTTTGTAAAAGGTTCTGTTTACTCAAAAATAACAGTTGTGGGGGATATTATGGGTTCCAGTTTAGACAATATTGATAACTTACTTTCTATGCCAAGTGGATGCGGTGAACAAAATATGTTAAAATTTGCACCAAATATTTTTATTATGAACTACTTACGCAATACTAAACAAGTCAATGATGAAATAAAAAACAAAGCCTTAAATTTTATGAGAACAGGTTTTAATTTTACTTTAATAATATTTTGAATCATTTTTTAGAAAATAAATGACTATATGTCAAGAAATAAATGAATATTCAAATATTAATCAAATATTCTAGACTTTTCAAGAAATAAAAAATTATGAAAAAGTTGTATGCAAGTTACATTAAATTATTAGGTTATCAGCGCGAATTGACATACAAACGTGCTGATGGATCATATAGTGCATTTGGAAAAAATGATAAAGAAGGAAGTACATGGTTAACTTAATTATAATTATTAATATTAAAATATTTAGTGTATATATATATATATATATATATATATATATATATATATATATATATATATAAATTTGATTTTCTTTTAAATTTATTTTCTTTCATTTAAAAGTTTTTATAAAAATAGTTTTTTTAAAAAGGTTGACAGCTTTTGTACTGAAATCATATGCACAAGCACGACCTTGGATTGATGTTGATCAAAAAGAAATTCAAGATCCAATAAACTGGTTGTTTCAAAAACAAGATTTCAACGGTTGTTTTCCAACAATAGGTAAAAATTAAAAAAATTAAAAAAGAAGGAATGGAAAATAAAGAAAAGTTTATCAACAAAAAAAAAAAGTAAAAAAAAAGTGAACTAAATTTTTTTTTTTCAAGTGTAACAATATTTTTTTCTTTTAGATTTTCTATGTATAACTTTTTCAAGATTTTTTAGACTTTTTATGAATAAATATTCAAGAAAATTGTTTTTCTATATTAAATAGTTATATATATATATATATATATATATATATATATATATATATATATATATATATATATATATATATATATATATATATATATATATATATATATATATATATATAAATTTATATTAAATTTTTGTTCATTATTTATTAAAGGAACACTACATAACCAAGCAATGAAGGGAGGAGTAAAATCTCCTGTTACACTTACAGCTTATGTAATAATAAGTTTGTTAGAAGCTGATATTATAGCTACTCACCCAAAGTTAGTGAATGCTTCAAGGTGTGTTACAGATTCACTTAGTAACATCACAGATTCTTATTCTCTTTCAATAATAGCATATATGTATGCAAAAATTGGAGATTTCAAAACATACCAGTCTGTAATAGATACTTTAAATAGACTTGCTGTTCGTAAAGGTAAAAAAGTTATCCACATTTATAAAGTTTTTTAATATAAAACATTTTTATAAAAAATCTTTGTTTTTATAAGATGGTATGGTTCATTGGGAGGAAACAAAAGTACAAGAAACTATAAAAGAACCATGGTACTATCAAGCTTCATCCACAGATATTGAGCAAACATCTTATGTTTTATTGGCTATGTTGACATTTGGTAAAAGCAGTGTTATTTCAGATGTTGTTCCAATTGTACAATGGTTATCAAAACAACGAAATAGTTTAGGAGGATGGTCTTCAACACAAGTTTGTTTTATAATTGAATTCATAGTTGTTGTTGTTTTTTTTTTTTGTTTTTACAGATTGGTTAATTAAAAAGTTAATATGTAAAATATTTTTCATTTTAGGATACAGTTCTTGCAATGCAAGCATTATCAGGGTTTGCTGAATATAGTTTTGGAGCTTCACAGAACATGAATGTAGATGTTAAAGCAGGAAATACATTCGCCCATACATTTAAAATAACCAAGAGCAATAGTCTTGTTTCACAAACTGTAGAGGTAAGCCATTTATCCTTCTTGTATTTTTTTTTTTTTTAAGGATTTTTTAAAAACAAAATCACTCCTAAGAAAACTGCAAGCAACCACTCTTTAAGATGGGAGTTGAACAAGCAAAAAACTGGTTGTCAGAAGACCTAAGGTGCAATTTTGCTAAATGTAGAGTCAGGTGAGATTGAAATTTAATTAATAGAGAATGTGATGATTGCTCACTTGAACAGCAATCATGGTAGAAAGGATACAAATATGCAACCTTATGACATCAGACTCAAATCTGGCAGGTTAAGCAGGTTAAGCAGGTCTAACAACATTTATAATGTGTTTTTGAACCTTGTCTTAAAAAGAAAGGGCATTATTAGAAGAACAAGCTTACATATGACAACAATATTCTGTACAAAAATGAATAAAATATTTATTTTTCTTTTCACAAGTCACTTAAGAATGGATTCTCAGCAAATATAAATATCTTGAAATATAAATATCCTTGTATATATATCCTAATATATAAATATCCTTGTATATATATATCCTAATATATATATAATATCCTAATATCCATACATATGGAAGAGTAAGAAAATGGAGAGCAAAAAAAAGAGACAACTTCAGATGCTTTCTTTGTGATGGATTGTATATATGTTTTCCATAGTAATCATTTTCATTGTAATCCGCAAAAGTGTATAGCAGAAGACTCAGAAAAATGCATAATAAATCCATCAATACAGGAATATCAACAATATTACTAGCAGTAAAGAACTGAATTTTATTTGAGTTTAAATTCAACAGCCACCACAAGCCCCAAGCTGCCAAAGAAAAGAAATCATAGACAAGATTAACTTCCTGTTCTATGTAATTAAAAAGTGAAATATATGTTTTACTATTTTGAAATAAATAAAAAACTTATTTTCAAGGTTTTAGTCTGCAGTTGTGTTGTAAACAAAGGCACTTTATAAATAAAATTATGAAAAGATCATTATTATAGATGAGGAACAACATGGGATCGTGAATGTAACCTTGTGGTACTCTAGTTAATACCAGGAGATGGTATTAATGAAGGAGAGTGATATCAAGGACAAATTCTTAAGAAAATAGCACACTTTATAAATCAAGCTTAAGAAGATTTTAAAATTAAAGATGTTTGCTCAATATCTGATGGTGAAGCTTAGTAGTACCATGGTTGGTAGTACCATATCAAATGCCTTTGATATTTCAAGAGCAAAAGCCCTTTACAGCTTCCTCCTAATATACGATAAAACTTTTCTTTCGTAATGATCTGCAAATCAGAAGGGATCAAAATTTGTGTTGAAGTTTGTTAACTAAATTTTCAAAGACTTTTATTAATTGGAAAAGGTTTTAAAGACTTAGTAAACTTTTATTTTAGTGATTTTATCATTTTTTTAGTAATTTTAAAAGACTTTTTTTTTTAATGATTTTAAAGACACAGTAAAAAGATTGATTTTAAAAATTGGAGCCATAATTTTCAATTTTAAGCAAACAGGAAAACAAGATTCAGTTAAGCACTTTTTGGAGGTAATGTAATAAGTTCCAGAGAACGCTTTTAAGCAACAGAACCACAAGCTGTAGTAGAAATAAATTAAGCAATATAAACAAGAATGATTTGAATGTCTAAGAGTAGGTTAATGTGTCTAATTGGAAAGGCAGTGATTTGAGAGATGATTTAGAGGAAAGGTTCTTTGCAAATAGTTCTGCATTATAGTGGGAGTGGTAATAATAAGTTTACCACTCCCTTGTACATAAAATGTTAAACTTACCTTAAGTAAGTGAAATTTTTATTAAAAAAATTTATTATTAATAGCACTGTAGAATCTCTAGAACTCAACTTCTGAAACTATGAGGTTTAGAAATCTAAGAATAATAGAACGTAGCATCATTCATTACCTTTTTGCATAGGTTTTTTTGCAATGATAAATTGATGTTTAGAAGTGATTAGAAAGAGCTGCTGCACAAAAGGAGAAAACAATGGGGTAGAGTGAGACTTTATTTTAGAAAAAATAAAAGCATCCATGCCTGTCTGAATCCAGAATGTTATAGAAGAAGCACAATTTTTAGCATAGATAAAACACCACCAGCCCACCATAAAGAAAATCACAAAAAGAATTTCAACCAGCCTAAGGTAGTAGTAAATTTAAATGTAAAATTTGATCTAGAATCTAAGTCTTCCAATAACTTCTGGGGTTCCCCAAGGTTCCATCCTGGGCCCTGTTTTGTTTCTTAACTACATAAACGATCTTCCTGACAACCTTTCATCTAAAGTAGCTCTTTTTGCTGATGACTCAACTTTATACTCCTGTCTTGACAAAAAGTCTTCTCTTTTCGATCGCCAAGAACAAGCAGCTGATCTTGAATCTGATCTCACTTCAGTAATAGATTGGGGTTCACAGTGGCTTGTGAATTTCAACTCTAACAAAACCCAGTTGTTTACTGCAAACAACTACCGTAATATGGTCAACATTCCTATATTAATGAATGGCAATCCTCTTACTGAGTCATCCTCTTTACGTCTTCTTGGATTATCGCTTACTACTGACCTTTCATGGAAACCATATAAACAATCGATTGCTAAATTAGCTTCTGCTAAGGTTGTTTCTCTTTATCGTGCTCGCCATTTCCTTACTTCTGATTCCATTCTCTACCTCTACAAATCTCTTATTCGTCCCTGTATGGAATACTGTTGTCATATTTGGGCTGGTTCTTCTAACGATTCACTTTCTCTTCTTGACAAGGTCCAAAAACGCATTGTAAATGTTGTTGGACCTGGACTATCTGCTAAGCTTGAACCTCTTTCCCATTGTCGTAAAGTTGCATCTCTTTCTCTTTTCTACAGATACTATCATGGTCACTGCTCAAAGGAGTTATCATCTCTAGTTCCCATCAACTAAAATTCATTCTCGTTTTACTCGTCATTCAGCTAAGTCTCACTCGTTTACTGTATCTGTCCCTGCATGCTCTAAAAACTTTTTTCATTCATCTAGTTTTTTTCCCCGCACTTCAATCCTTTGGAACTCTCTCCCATCTTCATGTTTTCCTGACTCATACAACCTTCAACTTTTCAAGTCTACTGTCAACCGTTTCCTTGCTCTATAACTCTGTTCTTTTTTTTTCCTAGTAACTTAATAGTGGTTGCTTGCAGCCTTGTTGGGAGTGAATGCAAATAAAATAAAATAAAAAGTCACAAAGTTAAATCAATAAGAAATTGAGAAAGACAAAAATATTGAGTCAATGAGGAAGAATGCGATAAATCGATCAGCAACAACAAAAAAATCTTAAGAAGAAGGGAATAAAAAAAGAAAAAAAAACTAAGTGAAAATATGCATGTAAAAGAATACTCAGAGGTTCAAACCTGGTTTCTCAACAAATAGTCGAATTGATAAACTGGTAATTGGTAAGTGTATGCCCAGGCTAAGCATGTGACTATTGGAGTCTTTGTGAATTGCATGTAAAACAATAGTCAGAGGTTTCAAACCTGACTTCTTAAAAAATAGTTGAATATGTAAGTATATGCCCAGGCTAAGCATGTGGCTATTGTGTGAATGGATAATAGCCATCAACACTTAGATTCAAAGATGAAACAAAATTTCAATTTAAATCTCAAAAATCAAATAGGTCTAGTGAATTTTGCAAAAGTTTTCAATAAAGAGTTACTTTGTAGACCACAAGTATTTGTAAAAAATAGAACAAAACAATTTAGTGGTAATGATGGTTGCTTTTTTGTTTTTTGGTTAATATTATCAGATATTTTTTACATATTTCTTCATTCATGTATTAAATTAATAAAGATCTTGACTCAGTTGTAAATAGCACACCCTAAACTATAAGCTATGAAATTGCCTCATTTCTACTAATCAACCTAACAAAGGGCTCAAAAGGGGTTCCTTATGTGGTCTCAACAATACACAATAAGCGCTAACAATCTAAAATCTACACAGAATTAAAAAAACCTTACTACCAGCTGTCTTTAGAACCAATAAATTGAGTTTTAGAGATGTGCTCTCAGTAGGAGTTAATGAAAATAGTTGCATTGCTGCTACCAAGGAGGAACAAGCAAAAACCCATAAGTAGAGTCAAGAAGATTCAGCATTCATCATTCTAAGCAGAAAATAATGTAACTAAAGTTAATATTTTCACCAGCCAATTAAATAAGTGTGAGGCTTGTCATTAGAATTTTTCTATTTACCTTATCTACCAAGGAAGGAATTTTTATTTAGAAACCATCTTTAATTTTTACTCAACCAAGAGCTCTAAAAAAAGGCTTAAAGTCAGAATTGATCTCTTCTAGTCTTTGTCTAGATAGTGAATGGCAGCAGAATATATGAGGCAGGTTGAATTGGATGACATGTTACCAGTAGCAGCGATAATTATGATGATTTTAATTCTGCCCAACCTGTGATTTATATTTGTTCTTATTTACTATTTTTATCTAATTTATTGATTTCAGAAATGCTTTTGTTTTTATAAATATTTGTTTAATTAAATTTTATGTTGTTTTTTTTACTACTTTTATTATTTTCTGTTTTTAATTATTATATGATTACTATACTTAAAATAAGTAATAATTATTATTATTTATTTGTATTATTATATTATTTCTATTATTATTTATAAGTAATAATAATGATGATTATTATTTTGTTGTATTAACATAGGATGTCCCTGTTCCTACTACAATTAATGTAGTTGCTACCGGAGATGGCTGTTCACTAATCCAAGTATTTTAAAAATCACATTTGTGATATTTAATATTTTAATTTTTGTAATTAGATAATTTCAAAACTCATTATAAATTACTTAAATTATTTTAAAAATAATTTTTTTAAATGTTATAAGATATACTTATGATGGTATTGTTAGTTAATAATGGGTTTTAGACATCTGTACAGTATAATGTAAAAGAAGTTACTTTGAAACCTTCATTCCAACTTACATCATCTGTAACACAAGTTAATGAAGCTATAACTGCCCAGCAATCATGTAAACCGCAGAATATCAAAGTATGTGCATATTATACAGGTGTTGGTGATTCAAACATGGCCATTATTGATATTCAAATGATATCTGGATTCGAACCAAATAAAGAATCACTTGATAAGGTTATTTTATTTAATTTAATAATTATTTGTTAAAAGGTTATTATATTTAAAATAATAGATTTTTTTAGTTGCTTGTTAGTACAAAAGAACCAAATTTTTTTATTTTTTTTGCTTATTTTTAACAAATAGAAATAAATATAAGGTTATATTAGAAAAATAGTTTTTAAATTGGTTTTTAGTTCCGTTTTACACTTTATATAGATATTAATCACTGTTTTTAAATTTCTTCATGTTGTTTTTGTAGTAGTGGTATTATTTAAATGTTTAATTTTCTGAAACATCCATCTGTATCAAAAGGCCTAATAAAATAGAATAATAATTTTTAAAACCATTTTACACTAAAATTTGTAATCATTGAAAATAAATTATGATTTGAACTAACCAATCTTAATATATGAGCCAACTAATCTTCAAAGAAAACACCAAACATGGTGTTGGTGAGGAAGTGATTGAGAGTTTCATATGAAAGAGGTGTATTGCTCAAAACGATTACATTAAAACAATAGATAACAAAAAAAACCTGCAATATTAAAAACTTTATATTTAACTTTTTTACTTTTTCTTTTAAAAATTTTTTTTTTACTATTATCTAGTTTGTTTTTTTTTCTTTTTAAATTAATTTATTTTTTATTTAAAACCAGCTAATGCTATCTAATATCAGTTTTTTTTTTTTTTTAAGTTTTTCAAGAGTTTTTGTTTTTTTAAGAGATATTCTAGATATAGAGGACTTGTTTTTAGAAATAGATGGTTGTGCACCTCCACTTCGAAACTGTGTTGTCGTCAATTAATGTGCCAGTTTTTATTTTCCATTCTTTCAATTTTTTTTTTATTCAAAAAATTTTCGATTAAGTTATAAGGGAGTTTTATTTTCAATAACTTCTAGTTAATAAGATATAATTATTAAATATATAAAAGATGCTTATTGAATTTTATCAATTGTTTATTAATTCAAAATACTTTTTCATTTGTTTAATGATGATAAATTAAAAAGAGCATCAAGGTCAGGCTTAGGGTTAGGGTTACGGTAATGTTTAAATTTGGTTATATTATCGTAATTTATCGTTTTTGTAAATAGATGAAGTCAAAAATGAAATATAATATAAAATAAATAAATAAAAATAACAAAAATTAATATAAAAAATATATTTTTATAATAAAATAATAAATTTAAATATGTATAAATAAAAATAGAAATGTAATAAATGTAAAAAGTGTATATAAATATGATAAAAATAGTATAAAAAAAGTAAAAAAAAAACAACAGAACAGAAACAAAAATAACATGTCCCCAAAAGTCGCTAGAATGCCATACATATATATATATATATATATATATATATATATATATATATATATATATATATATATATATATATATATATATATATATATATATATATATATATATATATTATATATATATATATATATATATATATATATATATATATATATATATATATATGTATAAAGCTAATATGGTGCTCCACTAAGATCTAGCAGTCTTAACACAGAACAACGCAGAGGAGCATTTAAAGAGAGCGTCTCCTTTACCAATGTCACTTATTGGGCAAGAGCCGGCGTCGAACCGCGAATCTTTTGTTTATAAGTCAGAACTCTAACCACTGCGTCGCGTCTGCTCAGCATAAATAGGGTGATATAGGTAAAAACAGGGTGAGATGGCTTTTTAACAAAAAAAAAAAAAAAAAAAATGGGTGGAAACAAAACTGTTTTAAAATGCAATTGATTTTTTTAAACATTGTTAGTGTAATTTTACAAGCATTTTATAAGTTTTAATTTTATAGTTTTGATAGAATTTTCTGTTTTTTGAATAAAGGCTCGTAATAATAAAGTATCAAGTATCAAAGACATTGAAGTAAGGGGGAAGAGCGTTGTGTTCTATTTTGACAAGGTAATCATAAATTTTTATTTAAATTCAATTAAAAAATTGTAGCTATGTTGTATAGCGACCACTGTATATGGCTGTGTATAACAAGTACTGTAGCACATATAGCGACCAGTGTATATACCCCACTGTAAAAGAAAAGTTAGAAAAATGTTTTACTCTATTATTCAATTTTTCCTTTATTATCATTTAATTACTATAGCAACATCAAGTAATTGAACACTGTAGTTATTAAAGTCATTTGCCTGGTCTTATTACCTTTACAGTTTTGCTTGTTTGTTATGTTTTAATTTGAGTCAGTTAATTGTTGTGTTAAGCGTGCCCTGGCATTTTAAAATTAACTAAAATGTATGCTCTGCATGAGAACCATATGCGACTATTAAATATATATAGACTATTTGAGTAAGCTTTTTAAGGCATGGCGTTATGCAATATTATTTTGTAAATAGAAACTTTAAATAAAATTGTTACGACCATAAGGGTTAAACACAACTTTTTAGATAATTAGCAGCGGTACCTGCATTAAGTTCCGAATCGATCAAACTACAAAAGTGGAGAAAACGAAACCAGCGGCCATCAAAGTTTACGACTACTACGACACAGGTTTATTTTTTATTTTGATTTTCATTTTAAAAAAAAATGTATGAAACTATTCTTTAATCAAAAAATATTTTTTCAGGAAAATCTGCTACTACCCTCTACGAAGTAACAGAAAAGCAATGTCTTTAATAAGTTTTACGAGAACAAACGTTTTGTTGAGTTGGTTCAATGAATTTAATGTCTACGTACTATGTTATACTCTGTGTGCGTGCTGCACAGATTATTATTGTAAACTTCGGGGGTATTTCATGCATATAAAAATATATTTATTTGTTTTTCGATTTCATTTAAATTTTTTTTTTGAATTTTGTTTCTATTAGATAATTTAGTAAACTTAACTCAGTTAACCTCGTTTTTAATTTATTTCGTGACCTGAGTGCTTATTTATTTCAACTCCATTTTAAATGTTAAAAAAACTTTTCCGCGTTAATATCTAAAAATAAAAAAAAAAACTTTTTATTTTTTTATTTTTTTAACTTATTTTCTTATAAATAATTAGTAAATTTTATAGCAAATAATATTTTTAAATAGTTATTATTAAAATTTATAATCTATTGCATAAATAGTTGTTAGCTTTATAAGATCACTTAATAATTTCTCCCAATATTTAAAAACGGAGATGGAATAAATAAGCACTCGGGTCGCAATTTTCTGATTAACTTTTAAAGACCCTGTGTTGGAGTTGTGCGTCATATTTATAACAAAACAAAAAACAAATACTTTTAGTTAATTTAAGAAAACCACTTGTGTGCGTTATTATCTTTTTCAAAAGTTTAAAATTTGCAATTACACCATTTTTTTTTAATATATACAGAAAGGGGGTGCTAAACGTTTGGATTACGTTCAAACACTTAATTACAGAACAAAATTGTAACCCTCTACCCCCTCCTCCTCCTTCCAATAATTTTTTTTTGTAGTTTTAAATGCGAAAATATTTCTTATTTTCTTAGCTGTTTAAAGTTATCTAATGAATGCATTTAAAATAAATATAAATTTTTATTATTATTATTTAAAATTACTTTGAAAGTCATTATATGTACGCACGTACAAATAAAAAGCCCATAAAAATTATATTCAAATGAAAAAACGTTTAAACTTTTCGTTTTAACAACTTATTGGCGCAGAGTCGTGGCTGACCTAAACAACATACGTTCAGGCGCGGCTTAGAAGGACTAAAGCTATTCTCTTTAGGATAACAAACTTTTTGATTTTGATGTTTTATTAGAAAGTTGTTTTATATGTTTTAACAAATTGCCGTTTAATTATAACTATATTTGTTTATATTTATTGAAGTTTCACACAATAATAATAATCAATGCGTACATAAATTGACTGGTATGGCCGTAGTCGCAGGGTAGTTATATACATCGACTGACTTAAATAGGTATATGGGAAGGGAAGTGTCGCCGTGGCGCAGTGGTTACAGTGTTTGCTTTATAAGCAGGAGATTCAGGTTCGAAACGAGCTCTGAACATTTTTTCCGCGTCACGGTAAGGAAGGAGGCGTGAACTTCCTGGGTAAATGCACATCCGAGGTGCACTGTGACAAGACCGTTAGGTCTTCTTGGGGCACCTAAATAACAAAAAAAAAGTGTGTATATTGTCTTTTTTGTACTCCTAGAGTTCGATATAAAGTTGTACAAATTAACAGTGACCAAACGGACAAATAATCTCTGAAGATTTAATTTAATTTTTGTTAAATATATTATTTAAATAACTTCTTTAGCAATAACTTAGTGGGTTTCATATTTATATCATATTTTTTTTATCGACGATATATCTGTTATATTATTGACTCATAAAGCTGTAGATGTATACGGTAATCGACTAAAATTAAAGTCAATTCCAATAAAAATTAAGTCAATTTAAATGGTCAATTTCAAATGTTAAATTGGAAAAGCCACAGTCGAGTGTTTTAAGTTAAGCTTTTTTTTAATCAATAGAAATACTTTTCTAGATTTGAAACTTTAAAGAAAAAATATTGCGCCACAAAACTGAATTATTTCTTCCCTCCACCTGTTACAAATCGTCACAAAATCGCTAAATCCACTCTTAATCACGCGGCGTAATTTGTGGACGACCCATTTTCAAAAAATTGTTGATAAACGATTTGATTGTTTAAAGAGAAAACATCAAAGGAAAAAAAGTTGTCGTTAGTTTAAACAACCAAGGTATTTCCGTAAAAATATATGATCTGTAAAATAAACGATTTAATTATTTAAAGAAAAAACACCAAAGATCTTACGAGCACATTTTTAAAATTCATCCAAAATGTAATATGTTTATCAAGATTTTGGTTTATATATATTATATATATATATATATATATATATATATATATATATATATATATATATATATATATATATATATATATATATATATATATATATATATATATATATATATATATATATATATATATATATATATATATATAGTATTGGACAAAACATTTGCAACCAACATCGAAAATGCTAAAACGTGTCCCTAATTTTACATGTCTTAAAAACGAAACAAATTATACTACCACAACAAACAGTTCAGGAGTCTGGAGTCATAGCATGCCGTGACATGAGCATTCAGCTGACAGGTGACAGCACACAGGCAGAATTTCGTTGACAAGTGCCATTTTGCAGCGGACAAAACAAGTGCAACTTTTTTGGTTTGTTTCATTTTCTTAAGTCTGGTCCGTGTCAACGTCACGGAAATTTTTGAATAATTAAAGGAAGTATTCAGAAGTTTCTAGAAGTTTCCAGAAGTTTTTAGAAGAAGCATCTGAAACCATCCAGAAGCATTCAGAAGTATTCAGAAACATTCAGAAGCATCCAGACGCATCCGGAAGCATCGAAAAGAAGCATCTAGAATCTTCCAGAACAGGTTCACACAGGTTCGTTTTACTATATAAGAGTAAACCGACATGTAGTTTAGTCAGTATATGGAAGTCAATCAGTCAGTATTATCAAGACAGTTTATCAAAGTGAGTTTTATCAAAGTGCTTCATCGAAGAACATCAATTCAAGAAGTGAAATACAACAAGTGTTTCATTACATCAATACAGTCCACATCCAACCAAGACGTTGTGTTCCACAGAGCATTAATGTATCATCACAAGGTAAATGTAACACGGTAAGCCTTGAGAAGCGTGATTATTTATTTTTATTGTTTTTATGACTTCAAGTGCAATAATGGCTCCCGACAGTCTTGGATTGGAACTAAGAAAGAAAATTATTGGCGATTACGTAAGTGGAATGTCACAAAAAAGTATTTGTGATAAATATCGCGTGAAAAAATGGACCTTAATACGGTCCATTTTTTCATATGTTCTAAATATCATTCTACGGAGAAGTTGGCAGCAGATAACAAGGTGGAAGACCGCGTTCCACCACTTCTAAAGAGGATTCTATGATCGTCAGATCCGAGTGAAAAAAATCTTTAATAAAAATCTTAAAATATCAAGCGAAGTGGTTATTGAAAGAGCCCATCGAATTGGCCCAATTGATAATAAAAAACCTAGAACAATAGTATTAAAACTCTTAAATTTCCAGGATAAAAACAAAATCCTGAATGCTGTAAAAAATCTTAAAGGAACTGGTGTGTATATTAACGAGGACTTTTCGCAAGAAACGATTGAACAACAAAGGAAACTTTGGGAAGAGGTGAAACGACTTCGAAGTGAAGGTAAATACGCCATTTTAAAATATAATAAAATATTTAGTCGATGCGTATTTTTCTTAATTTTTTTTTTTCCTTTCAAAGCACTTTTAATTTCTCATTTTAAGCAAAATGAATAACGAAACAATAGATTTTGAAACACTGCACTTTAATGTCTTCGAAACGGCAAATAATGTTATTATTATACTTTTTCTTTATCACCCGGTAGTAAATTACAGGTAAAATAATATTTAAATAGTCAAACAATAAATTAAAAATCAGCTAAAACAACACGGCTCTTGTAGTTGTTAGCAATAAATGCTTATAAACAGCCGGTTTGTTTTCCACATATTATTTGGACAGAGTTCTAGGAACATTCTCCTCCATCAAGATTTTAAACGCCTCTCTCTTTTCTTTCAAATTCCAAAACTGGAACGTTTCTTTCAATATTAGCATAATATTAGTTTGTAGCTCTACAATGGGTTGCGTCAATTTATTTTTTTTGCCATTTAACATGCACTGTATGAGATTTAAATCAAGTGTGTTGCACGCATCAAATACTTTGTTTGTAAAGGATTTTTATTCTATGTTTCCTGCATTTGATTAATTATCAGTGAGTAACAAGTTTGATTTTTCAGCAGCCTGATAAAAAGATTAGCTTTGTTCCTAAGGAGAATAGTTGAGATATCTTCTATTTTAAAAAAAGAATTATGGTAATTTTTACTTTACTTCGAAATACAGAAAAATGATTTTAAGACTGCTCTTCCAACAGCGTCCATTTTGCTGAGAAAATTAGTATCATATTTACATAGTTCAAGACCATATATAAGCTTCAGCACTGTTAATGTATTGTACAGATGAACAATTGTTGATGGCTGGCAGTAACGAATCCCACTGTCAATTAGAGCTTTTGCAACTGATTGAAACTGAGTTATACGCTCATTTAAATTTTTCTTTCGGAGTGTTGCAATTTTTTTTTTGCAGGTATCGTTATCCCATTGAAAACCCAGATGTTTTAATTTATTTTGAAGATATATAGAAACTCCATTAATTTTAACAACGTTGTTAGGAATATAACTTTTTCCAGAAATCAGAAATTCTGTTTTCTCAGTGTTTAGCTTGATAAAGTTTGCTACTCCATATGTTTGAAATCTGTTAATCAGTTCCTGCAGACCAGAGATTTTGGGGCTTAGCAAAATTACATTATACTCAAAAAAAAATTACGTTATACTCAACAATTTGAATGACGCAGATGCGTAGATTTTTCGCGGAATAAATTTTGGTTCTCAATATTTTGAAACAGAAACTTTTAAAACTGAACTTACAACTTTAAGGAATAAATTCACTGCATTACACATAAATATAAGAAGCATAAATAACAACATTGATAAGCTTAAGAAATTTCTAACCGAATGCAATTATTTATTCAGTATGATTTGTTTAACCGAGACATGGTGTTCTGACGAATCGTCCAGAATAAATTCAAACTTAGAAATTCCTAATTACAAATTAATATCTTCTGAAAGAAAAACTAACAAAAGGGGAGGGGGAATTATTAACTATATTTGAACTGATCAAGCCACCAAATATAGACATGATCTTTCTACCTCAGATGCCGATAGTGAGGTCTTTA